ATAATAAAAACAACTCACATTTTTGAACTTTTCATCGATGTTATCAAACTTCTTAGCTTCTTCAGGTAACTGGGAGCGAATGTCTCCACCTATAAATATGCTTTCCAGGTACATCCACTTGCGTTGTACCACCAACCAAACCTGTGCAAAGTGCATTTTGTAAGTTAGCTGTTTTGTAGATGAACTCAACAGCAAATTAGCAGCATTCTCCTGACCCCGATGGTCTCCGCTGATGAGAGACAGCTCTTTTTTCCACTTGTTGTATGGCACCAAGGAACGGCCCAACAAAACGGCTGCCAGCCATGCCCTGTAGGTTCATGACATCATTGTCCAAATTCAGCAGGATCTCATCCACAGCGCCCAGGATGAAACCTTGTTTCTGAGTTCCTTTAAAAATGGGCTGCACATTGAAATTCATCTTCTCCCCAGCTTTCAACCACTCCCTTTACTCCCTGAAAACACAAACAACACATAAACGTTCTATTTCACAGCTATATTGACTGAATCAAGCCTAATTCAACTTTGTGATACTTTATTATTACCGATGTATAAAGAAAAAAAACCTACCATCTCGATGTTCAGCTCTTTTATAGCAGATGTGACAATGTCACTGATGACGTTTGCATATTTATGCAGTTCCATAGCAAACATGTTCTCCAGAGTAAAGCTGTCAGGGTTTATCTCAAAGCTGGTGCCAGTCCTTTTCCATCAGCTCCTCCCAGTGCCTAAAATAAAATTAAAACAACAATAATAAAGTAACCACATGATAAAAGAAAAACCAACAAATGTTCTCATGATGTGAAATAAATAAATTGGCATAAAAATTAGCCTTGAAAAAGAAATGAACTCAAACTCTTCATTTTCCAGACAAACCTGTTTCTGAGTGCCTCGTGCTTCAAGTCTAGCAGAAGAGTCAGTGATTCTCTGAACTCTTTCATACTCGCGTCCAGAAAAAAGCAACGGTAAAGCCCTCACATCTTTGGGCAGCTGTCTCAGGCTTTTGATGAAGCCTTCTATGTTCTCCTGTAACATCTGGATGTCCAAATCTACCCCACAGTGTTTCAGACCATCTTGCTTTTGCTTCCTGTAAAAAAGAACCAACTCAAGCAAGAAAAGTGGTGTAATCAATTGAGGATGGGAAAATTCAAACATCCTCCCACCTTCTGTGCTTTATACACATTATAAGCCTGTCTTAAGCCGCTCATGTCTTTCTGAATCCTGGGTGACCTCTGGGCACACAGTGACAGGCAGGTCCAGCAGCTTTTCAACATTAGTCAGCTCTTCCCATTCAGCCACAATCTTGGCAAGGTCTTCTTCATATTTGTCCATGATGCTCAGTCCTGGAAAAAAAACAACAACAATGAAAATGTCAACATTTCACATGTTAACATTCCTTTACTGGTTTTGATTTAGGCACCTTTATCCAAATCTTCTCCCACAGCTCCAGGACCATGCAGGTTGAAGCTTTCAGCAAAGATGGACACGTTCTGTCTGAACTCTTCAAACATTCTCTTTGGTAATCTTAACAGAAACCAAAAAGATGTGTTGGCTCTGTGTATTCTGAAACATTCTTTTCAGTTCAAATATTAATGAATGACTTGTTGAAACTGTAACACAGCAAATGACTTCTTGACATCTTTCAGACTATGATCCACTTGTCTAGATTCTGTGTAAAGGTCACTCCATGTCTGGTCAATAATGGCCACCAGCTCTTTTTCATCTTCTCCAACCTAGGCACACACAGAACTGTGGTATTACCTGGGTCAGAAGTACAATCTCTGAGTAACAACTTCAAATTGAACAGTACCTCAGCTTCATAGATGGCCAGGGTTCTGTAGCTCTCCTGGATATCAGTGATTCTTATTTCTATGTCTACAGACATGTTTCTGATGTCTGAGATGGTGCTGAGAACAGACTTCAGGTCGTTCACAAGTGTCTGGGCTTGCTTCAGCTTTCAGAGAGTTGCTGTTGTGTAAGACAAATATTAAGTTAAAAATTCAGAAACATTCAGCTTGGGAACATCTGACTGAGGTGCATGATTCAGTACCCGTGAGTTCATCTCTAAAGTTGAAGAGATTCTTTTTGGCAGATTTGTTTAGCAAATAACCAAGTGAATCGATCCAGGCCTCTGCGATCATCTGTAATGTGTTAAGCAGTGGCGATAGGTCCAGATGGATCACGTTCTCCGTCTTGCAGCGAGGCTCCAGATTCACATCTTGCTTAGCCATAGCAAAGACGTTCATCTCATCATCATACTTGGCGTAGGATGGATTTTTGGCTGCAAACTCTTCCGGTCACAAGAAATCTGTTCTTTTCCCAAAGAAAACCGGTAGCGTTTCCAGTACTCAAAGTTGCGACTCACTGAGAGGAGCAGCTCCTCAATCTTTTGGGACACCATGACAGCACTTAGCTTTATCTGAGGATGCTGAGACACATCACAGAAGAATGTGAATTTCTTAGACCCCTCTTCACCATCCACAAGTTGTATGGGGCAGTTGATGCAGGTCCCATCCATCCAACGTGGAAAATGCTGAAATCAAAATTATGTGCCTGATCAAGTCACTAGTTTGATGCTAGATGCACATACTTTCCAGAAATATCACCAGAGGAGCTCACCTTGGTGCTCGCTATACACATCTTAATGCACCCCATGATCATCCTGTTGATGACGTCACTTCGTGGCTCTAACACAATACCAGTAAACAGGACGACGTTTGCTTTGAAAACAGCTGTGTCTCCCATCAGCACCGTGGTGAATGTCTGAATGCTCCTTAAGGTCACAAAAGGAGAAACAAGTGTGTGAATGTGTTTTTAACACTAAAACATACAAGGGTAAATCATAACTTGATTACCTCTGCAGCATCTCTATCAGGGAGTCAAACACTTTGCACTCCCAGTATTTATAGTAACTAGCCATACATTTGGCTTTGCCACTTCTGGTTTCCATAATCACATGTTCTGTCTCATTGATGAGGAAACTGATGTCAGAATATTTCTTAGTGAGAATATTCAGAGTCTTGTTTTGCTCTCCCTCAATGTAGTCACAGAAGTCCTTGATATCTTAAAAAAAAAGATGTTACACTGGTAGATTTTCATTTTTTGAACCAGTAAATATCTCCTTAAATTCGTGTTACCTGGCAAGTCTCTAGATTTATCAGATACTGGCAGTTTCAGCAAGTTGGACAGAGTTATCGACTGTAGCTTGGAATCAATTGCACGCTCGTTCTTGTGAATCTGGTCGACGATGGACTTGAATTTAGAAACAGCCTGGACACCTCGACTGATGAACTCAGGTATCCCTAAAACCAAACACCGTTTGTGCTTTAATCTAACAGAAAGAATAATGTAACCACTGCATGTTCTGCAAATAGCTAATCCTGTGAAGGTAACAAACCCAAGAAACACCAGTTGAGCTTCTTCAATCCAAATTCCATCTCTTTTTTGACCACTTCTATAAGTGGCAGCAGCATATCGAGATGCTCCTCAAGCAGGCTGTCCAACAATGAGTGAAAGTGTTCGATAAGGTGGTTCAGATCATCAGCACACCTAAAGATGAGGTTAAAGCAGCAGAAAGCAGAGACACCATAAACGGTTTAACATTTAGTTTACACTGTGCTTTAGGAAGTGTACTCACCTCAGGAGACTGTGTTCCAACATAACCAAGTCTTTTGCCTGTTTCGGAACAGAGTAGCCCAGTGACATGAGGGGCTTTATCTCAGAAATCATTTCCCTTAATTGTGGAGGAAAGTTTACTATGTAGTGCACATTCCTTTTCTTGCTTTGTTCTGGTCTTGGAACTTCCTTTAAATAACAAAAAGAGGTTTTAGGATATTTATATACAGTGGGGCAAAAAAAAAAATGTTGTCAGCCACTGATTATGCACGTTCTCCCACTTATATGAGCCCTGTAACTTTCATCGTAGGTGTACCTCGACTATGAGAGACAAAAGGAGAACAAATAATCCAGAAAATCCCACTGTCTGAATCTTAAAGACTTTACTTGCAAATGATGGTGGAAGATAAGTGTTTGGTTCATAACAAAATTCCATAAAGGGATTTACATTTCAATGGTGGAAACACAACCCACTGCACACTGCTGCCAACCAGCGGTTGGCGTTTGAATTGCACCCAAAGAAGAGAAAATACACAAACGTTTGCAAGGAAATTGTTCCAAAAATAAGATACAAGGCTTTTGAATATCAATGTAATATTGCAGGAAAAAATATCACGATATACTCCGATATCGATATTTTTGATACACGGCTTTTGAATATTGCTATAATATCGCAGAGAAAAAAATATCACAATATAATGCCATATCGATATTTTCTTACATCCCCATTATGAAGGCAGTCCTTCATTAGCTAGGCAGTGTGTTTAGGATCATCGTCATGCTGACAGACCCAGCCACGTTTCATCTTCAATGCCCTTGCTGATGGATGGAGGTTTTCACTCCAAATCTGACGATGCATTGCCCCATTCATTCTTTCCTTTACACAGATCACTCATCCTGGTCCCTTAGCAGAAAAGCACACCCAAAGCATGATGTTTCCAACCCCGTGCTTTACAGTAGGTATGATGCTCTTTGGATACAACTCAGCATTCTTTTTCCACCAAACAAGACGAGTAGAGTTTTTACCATAAAGTTCTATTTTGGTTCCATCTGACCATTTGACATTCTCCCAGTACTCTCCTGGTTCATTCAAATGTTCTCTAGAAAACTTAGAACAGGCCTGCACATGTACGGGTTTAAGCAGAGGGACACGTCTGGCACTGCAGGATTTGAGTCCCTGATGGCGTAGTGTTTAACTGATGGTAGCCTTCGTAACTTTGGTCCCAGCTCTCTGCTGGTCATTCACTGGGTCCCCCGTGTAGTTCTGGGAGTTTTGCTCACTGTTCTTGTGATCATAATGACCACATGGGGTATGATCTTGTGTGGAGCTCTGATCGTGGGAGATTATCAGTGGTCTTGTCTTCAACTTTCTAAAAATTGCTCTCACAGTTGGTTTCTTCACACCAAGCTGCTTACCTATTGCACATTCAGACTTTCCAGCCTGGTGCACATCTACAATTTGGTTTTTGGTGTCCTTTGACAGCTCTTTGGTCTTGGCCATGGCATGGACGTAATTTTGGGGGGGGGGGACAGGGGGGACATGTCCCCCCCACTTTTTCCAAAGTCAAGTTTTGACCCCTGCACTTTTTACCATCCAAAAACAATATTACGCTATATTAAATTGACACTGGTTGAGCTCTAGGACCAAGCGGAAAACAACAGTTTGTGTTGAAGCCTGTTTCCATTAGAACATACTGTAAATACCCCCCCCCCCCCCCGTGTCCCCCCCCCACTTCTTAAGTGAAAATTACGTCCTTGGGCCATGGTAAAGTTTAGAATGTGACTCTTTGAGGTTGTGGACAGGTGTCTTTTATACGGATACCGAGTTCCAACAGGTGCCATTAAGAGGTTACAGGTCTGCGAGAGCCAGAAACATTGCTTGTTTGTAGACCAAATACTTATTTTCCACCATAATTTGCAAATGAATTCTTTAAAAATCAGACAATGTGATTTTCTGGAACTTTCTTTCTCATTTTGTCTCATAGCTGAGGTACACCTATGATGAAAATTACAGGCCTCTCTCATCTTTTTAAGTGGAAGAATGTGCACAATTGACAGCCGATAAAACAAAAACACGAGGGAAACAAGTTGATATGAGTAACAGTGAGTGGTCCATACCAGGTCTTGGTTTTCTCTGATAGTCAGCAGAGGCTGTTTCAATAGTGACCAGCTGTTTTCAGTTTCTTTCAGCCAGCCCTCATATTTCGTCGTCTCATATTCCCTAATCCGCAGTGCAGTGTCCTTATACTTGATTTTGACCTGAGCAGGAAAACTGTGAAAACCATAAATGTTTTCCCATATTGGAACTTTAACAGAGTGAAGACAACTACAACTCACCATGTTGCTTTGTTCACTTTCAAGCATCTGTGCTACTTTCAGGAAGGAAAGAATGGGTTGTTTAATGTGGCAGAGAAGAGTTCTGGCCCATGTAATGGATCCTGCCACAGGAGTCTCACACTTTACTAAAGGTGGTTTGCTCTTCTCTGCATCAAAGATTTCATTAATTCTGTCAACCTGTAGCAGCAACAAAAATACTTACTCTCTGCATACTGCAAAATACTTTCATCCCCACATTTTAGTTTTTCTAGCTTTTGTAGATTTTGATAGTAGAGTACCTCACTGCAATACTGGACTAGGAATTCATTAAACTTTTGTTTCAAATGGTCATCGATGGCCTTTCTGGAGTGGATTTGTTGGAATTTCAGCAGCATTTCAAAAGCAGCAGCAGACGACTGCAGAGTTTTAAAAGACAAATCGACAAATTCAATCATTTCTCCCTCGATAACCTGAGTGAGAAAACAAACAAGCTTGAGAAAAAAAAATCCACCTTTCTTCATTCAATTATGCTGAATATTAACTGGTCTAGTTATACATTTCCTGGACCTACCCCAAGTGCAGAGTCAAAGTCTTGCATGACCTTTTTCCAGTTGCCGTTTTTTGAGATGCTGAAAGGATCAAACCCGACCTCCTCGAAAAGTGAAACTAGACCATCGAGTCTGATCAACATTTCCTTGATCTGTTCCCTACTTTTCATGTCTGGGTCAAAGAAGTTGTGGAATTCCTTCTGCACCTGTAAAACCCCAAATCCAGAAGAGCTTTGTCAAAAGTTCTAAATTTACAATATGGCTTTTGTGTAAGTGGCCAGTAACTTTTGGAGTTTCACTAAATATAAATAGCCTGACCTGAAACACATAACACAGATCCTGGCAGACAGACGCCATGTAATCGCTGATCTCAAACAGTCTTTTACGATCAAATTCCCATCGAGGTGCTCTGCCTAATTTTTCAATTGCAGCGCGCACGTCATAGTAGGATGCCTTCCACTGCTCCAGGACACTCTTAGCACCAAGCACCATGGAATAGGCCTCTTCCCTATTCACTCTGTTCAACACACAGCGTTTTGTGAAGTTAGACTTAAACAGCAAATCCATTTGAATAGACGATTATATTGTTTTCACAAATTAGCACCAAAACTTTACTTTTGAGCTGTTTTCAACCATAAAATGAAAAGCATTAATGCATACTTGAACAGTTTCAGAACATCAAGTCCTCTAGACACTCGCTCACAAAGCTGCCACGCAATCCGCTCCATTAGAGGGACCATACGTTCGTTTGAGTTGTAGTGGCGAGAGATTTGCCAGACGATCTGTAAGCTCTCCATCATGTCAGGGATGGTCTCCTTCATCATGGTAAAATCTGCCCCAGCAGCCAAATTCTACAAAGGACAACAACACGTCTAAAGGAGAAGATGCCTCTAAAGGAGGAGATGCCACAACAAATGGACCAACGCCTACTTGTTCATTTGTTCAGAAAAACTTGGGTGTAAAGAAACAAGGCTACTCACCAAAAAGTGTCTTTCCAGCGTCTTAAGGAAAAATACATTATTATCTGACTCTGAGTAGTATTTAGATAGATCAGCAATGGTTCCACTGAGGGTGTGAATAATGGCTGGATTTGCTTTAGTCGTGACTTCCAGGATCTTCTGTACCATCGGCTGTTTGAGCTGTTGAGACAGAGCACTGAGAACAGAAGCACGGTCCCGCCAAAGTTCTATCTCTGCAATAGGTCCAGGAGCCTGAAAGAGAATCACAGGTGATCACTTCTCCCAGATGTATCACTGAATTAACCCTTCCCCTCCTCTACCAAATCATTAGAGGAATGAAAAATGTTCTTTTCTTGACACGTGAGTGATGAAATGTGCTCCAGTCCCTGAAACGATCAGTTATGTTGTAATTTTATGAATGATGGATCATTGCAAACCTGTGGCTGATTGCTTTGCTGTTCCTCCATAATGGTGGTAATCTGAGTCTGCCAGTTCATCACACACTGCTCCAACCTCTCTACTGTCTCAGAACTGTTCAGCAGGACATTCACCTCCAGCTCCAGGTCCAGGTCAGGAATTTGGAGTACAATTTCATCTAGGGCAAAGACACTGTTGTCATGTTCCCGAGCCGAGGTGAGTGACACCGTCTCCACTCTAACTGTTATTGAGCTGATTTCCCACAGGTGAGGAGCGGAGGGGGCTGCAGCAGCAGGAGATTCCCAATCAGGAACTCAGGTTTAAAAGGAGGATGGAGACACCTTACAACCCCAGATGATTGCACCAGTTTGGGTAGCCCCAGCCACTTGTACTTGTACTTTTGTGGGCGACGGTGGCACAGGAGTTAAGTGCTCGCCTCGTAATCGGAAGGTTGCAGGTTCGAGCTCCGCTCAGTTTGTCGCTGTCGTCGTGTCCTTGGGCAAGACACTTAACCCACCTTGCCTGCTGGTGGTGGTCAGAGGGACCGGTGGCGCCAGTGCTCGGCAGCCTCGCCTCTGTCAGTGCGCCCCAGGGCAGCTGTGGCTACATTGTAGCTCATCCCCACCAGAGTTTGAATGGGTGAATGACTGATTGTGTTGTAAAGCGCCTTGGGGGTTTCCAGGACTCTAGAAGGCGCTATATCAAATACAGGCCATTTGTACTTGTTTGTTCGCTTTGACTCGCTCTTGGATTACTTGGATTCTGACCTCGGACTGATTTGTGGATTACGTTTTGGGATTACCCCTTACGTCTGCTGTTTGTTTGCCTTCCCTCAGGATCCTCACACAACCTGCCTCACCCTCACTGTTTCGAACTCTGGATTACATACACCACGTCCCATCCTCCTCCGTTGTTCCTGTCTGGTCCCTCTCTGCTACCTCACCCATCCCGGATTGCTCACCCTCTGCCCAGCACTCATCTCGGCTTTCACGCCTCCCTTGTTCACCCCAAGCGCTACGTGGACTCGAGCTGCACCGCTCATCTCCCACAGGACTTCCCTGTGCTATTTTTGTTCCCGCTTTTTGAATAAAGAACTTTTCTTTTACTCAACCTACTCGAGTCTGATTCTGCATGTCTTGGGTTAGGCACTTACCTCGAGTCATGACAACTGTACTCAGAATAAATTCATCATGATGAAAATGTTTTTTTTTTACTCAGTTCAAATTATTTCCTGGTTTCTGGCCCTCAATGATACATTCTGTTTTCATTCCCTTTATTTTCTTGTTGTGAACCAAACAAACCTTGAGCATGAATCTGTCGGATTGTTTGACTGAGCTTTCCGAGGTATTTGTGCACACTGGTGAGCACCGAATGACGACCCATAAGAGGCAGATCAGTAGGAGCTTCCTTTTGGGGACCACCTGTTGCTCTTGCTTCAGCAGTAAACCAGGGTACATAAACCTGAAAGGTGACAGAGAAATATACACCTTTATTTACAAAGAGCCAGATGTAACAAATGTTTCATTGTTATGGACTTACATGGAGCAGTTGCCTTCGAAACGCCTCAAGCGGATCTCCACTCTGCATACCAAGGTCTATTAACCTAGTCATTAGAGTATTGGCTTCTTTCATGTCCACTGGGTGAACAACAGTCTCTGTTACAAAGTAAAATTTAATTTAATTTAATTGTCTGTGATTTTAATGTGAACTTAACTTTGTTTTACAGTGAAATAGTTACGTCACCGTTAAGGTTTCGTCGAAAATAGAAGACAGGATTTTTAGGATTCTTATGAAATCTCTCTGGAATCTCGTCCACTGATACGTTTAATTCCACGTGACGGACAACTTTAACTTCAGTCTTCTGAAAACAAACACAAAGAAAAAAACAGAGGTGGTTGTATTTTCTGCATCCCTACAATCACCTGGAAAGGTGTTTTAAAAATAAATTTAAACAAGTTTGTGGGAAATTTCTTACATAGTTGTCATTTGTCGCTGACTCCACTTCACTGAAGGACTCGTGGTCAGGATCTGAAGATACGCCGTTATTCTGCTCTGAGGTCCTAGATACTTGGGTTATTCAGTGTAACAACAACAATAATGATTTTTATATCATCATTTCTGAGGCAGTCAGTTCCATAGATGTTCACAGAAATCACCAGTAGGCACCGTATAAAACTGCCCCAGCCAGAATAATGTGGTGGATTCACTCTAATGCAATTAGGGAGCTCATTTCAGTAGCCTACGACATCATATGTAAATGTCTGATTCAGCTTTTACAACCGTTGGTCTAGATAATTTTGGTGTTTTAGGCGAGTTTGTCCACATAAACACTTACCGACGGGAACTTGCTCTTCTATTTCCTCCTCTCTAATATGTTTGAAGAAGAAAAGCCATGAAACAGAGTCCACTTCGGAGACGCCGTTTAAAAACCGGATGATTGTCTCCTCTTCTGCGCCATTGCCCCGACTCAGGAGTTCGTCAAAACATTCGGGATACTTGGATAAACCAAAACCAACTGTTAGCTTCTGTCGGATCCACTCCACGCGAAGATCATCGTGGACCCCCATTTCTTTAGGATTTTCGTCTAAAGCTCGAATCGTTTCAGGCAACTAACTGTAAAGTGGTTGAAACCGTTAAAGCCACTTACAGCCGCTGTTGCTGGTTGGCGATGTCCCGTTACCCTGACAACAGTCTTGTAGATTGCAAAGGGCGGGGGGGGGGGGGGGGGGGGGGGGACTGGAATGTCTCCACCAGACCCCAAGAGGCAAGTTTAACGTTATTCTATGAAAATACAAATTTATAAAATTTGTTGTTAATGTTGACACTTGTTACTGCCAAATGTAAGTTTTGAAACTCAATATTGGCTATAGGTAATTTTATATCTACAAAAGTATAATATTCCAGGCTGTCAATTAAACAAAAAACAACTATTTATTTAATACTTAAAATGTGCAGATATAAATCAGAGTTTGCTATTGCAACCATTGGTTTAGGTTTGAGGAAAATAATTTTGGAGTTTTGGGCAAAATGTTTGTCCAGACTCACATCAGAAAATAAAAACTATTGTGGGGAACAAAAACTGTGCTGAAATAAATACTAGAAAATTCAAAATCATATAGGAATTGTGTGCATATATATATATATATATATATATATATATATATATATATATATATATATATATATATATATATATACACACGTGTGTGTGTGTGTGTGTGTGTGTGTGTGTGTGTGTACAAAGTCTGTTTTGCTTCTATGAACTTGTAATATTTTTGCATGATGTTTCATGTTTAACAATCACAATAGTAGGAAAATATGTAAAAGAGTGTGATTCAATTGATTATACATTTGATGCTCATGTAACACATTACGACCAAACGTCTTGCAGTTTTCAGTTATGTCCACTAGATCACGTGACGCTCCCACCTCACCTAGAAAGTTCTGGTGAAGTGTTGATACTTCTTCACATTACATAATCATTATAATATTACTTCTATCTGTTTTTATTAGTTATGGCTGGAAAAGGAACAAAAAATAAATTAGCTATATTTGCCTATTTATTACAAAATAAATTTGTATGCATTGGTTTGAATATAGCAGGCAGCATACCTTTATTTTCGGTCAATACTTTCAAAATAATCTAATTTATGTTTCAGTAATTTTGTCTAAATATTATGAAATAAATAATGCACGCTAGATTACGGTAATAACAAATGTATATACACGCGTTACACACCAGATTTTTATTTATTTATTTTTTGTCAGTGTTGTGTTGAAGTTTGGTACCTGTAAGTAAATGCCACATATTCTTAACTTTTAATGGCAACGTTAGGGCTTACCACAACATTTATCTACGAAGTTGTCACAACACCGGTGTACATCATGAATGGTGACGTCACTTTAAATCCGTGTCAGCGGATGTTGACTCTCCTCGAGCGTGTTAAAGCAGCTAACGTCAAAAACAACTTCATTTACAACACGGACTGGTGGTGTGCTTCCCTAAATCAGGTAAGTCGGCTTTTAGCTAACCCTAATAGCTAATTAATAACTGTAGTGACTAGAAACTAAACGTCCACTCGTGTGAGTCAGTAGGTCAGTAGCCGAATCTTAAATCTTTAGTTTGTTTCCAGGAATCATGGCGACGCTAGCCTGCTAGCTAATGACAGTTAGCTTTAGGCTGTTTGAAAACAAAGCCTGTCTTAATTCAAGTGACTTGAACAATTGAGCACAGATAAACGTTCTCTGTCGTATTCGGCTAGATAAAGAAAATACTATAAAAATATGTGTTTGAACTGAGCCTTCACTCATGATTCGGTTTCATGTTAGTTTAGCTAGCAAACGAGTTGATCATTTAAACAAACTGCTTTTAAAAACGTAGTAGTAAAGGTCAAACAAGTCCTCCTCCACAACCCAACTTCTGACTATTACGTAACTAACTTATTCATGGTTAGTAGTAAAAGTAGCTTTACACTTGGATTAGCTGCAGCTAGATTAAAAATATACTTGCTAATAGATGACAATGATCATATAATCAATCAGTACGACAACAGGTTTCATAATGTTTTTGGTTATCTTTATTTCAATGCTTTACCCTCTAATAATGAGTTAAAATTACCATATTTTGTTTATTATTTGCCATTATTTTTTGTTTAATGTTAGAACTTTTTATTTTTTGTGGCTCTTTGCTTGGTTTCCAGCACAACAGGTGACTGTACATTTTTAAACTAGGCTCTTTTATTCATCATAGTTGCTTCTGAAAAGAGACATTTTATTATAAACCACAGACTTTCCATTTTCTCTTCAATGCTCAGACATACATCAATAGAGATGTTGGACACACATTTTAAAAAGTTGCCTTCATCACACTTCTAAACAAGACCCTACGTCTCATTTTCATAAACAAGTAGTCATACTTTGTGTCTGGGGAATTTGCATTTAACCACTCCATGCATCATTTAGACTGAGAGGATCAGAAACTTGAGTCATGTGATGGTAGAAGTCTTGCTGCTGATGACTATCAGGGTTTTCTCTGAGAAATGTTCTATCATTCTCGTCCACATTCTTGTGTTCTGTTGCAGGTAAATTGTTTTTAATGAATAAAAGAAAACTGGTAATTTTTGTCCTAAATATTTCATGTAGTGTTTTTAATTTTAACAAATTGAATCCTTATACACTTGCACAACAATAAGTCTGCGTGCACATTTTAATTTCTCAGAGGGAGAGCTGAGCTGTAGAGTTGTGATTGGTGCCAGCAGGTCGGACCGCCTGCAAGCCTAGACTTCTGGCCAGTATGTCTGATGATCCTCCCCCTCCGTACCCCGGAGGTCCCAGTGCCCCCCTCATTGAGGAAAAGAATGGACAACCTGGTAAGGAAGCCAAATATGCAGGATTGTGGTGACTGTTAACGTGAACTCAAAAGTATTTAACATCAGGTTAACAGAAAGTATCTTAGCACGATTTCTAAAATTTGGGAAAGGTGTTTAATACACATTGTTAGCAAATATTTCAAATAATCGTCGTCGTCTTCCTCTGCTTATCCGGGTCCGGGTCGCGGGGACAGCATCCCAACTAGGGAGCTCCAGACCGTCCTCTCCCCGGCCTTCTCCACCAGCTCCTCCGGCAGGACCCCAAGGCGTTCCCGGACCAGATTGGAGATGTAACCTCTCCAACGTGTCCTGGGTCGACCCAGGGGCCTCCTGCCGGCAGGACATGCCCAAAACACCTCCCCGGGGAGGCGTCCAGGAGGCATCCTGACCAGATGCCCAAACCACCTCAACTGGTTCCTTTCGATCTGGAGGAGCAGCGGTTCTACTCCGAGTCCCTCCCGAATGTCTGAGCTCCTCACCCTATCTCTAAGGCTGAGCCCGGCCACCCTACGGAGGAAACTCATTTCGGCCGCTTGTATCCGTGATCTCGTTCTTTCGGCCATTATCCAAAGCTCATGACCATAGGTGAGGATTGGGACGTAGATCGACCGGTAAATCGAGAGCCTGGCTTTCTGGCTCAGCTCCCTCTTCACCACGACAGATTGGCTCAGCATCCGCATCACTGCAGACGCCGAACCAATCCGCCTGTCGATCTCCCGATCCCTCCTACCCTCACTCGTGAACAAGACCCCGAGATACTTAAACTCCTCCACTTGAGGTAGGACCTCTCCTCCGACCCGGAGTTGGCAAGCCACCCTTTTCCGGTCGAGAACCATGGTCTCAGATTTGGAGGTGCTGATCCTCATCCCAGCCGCTTCACACTCGGCCGCAAACCTACCCAGCAAGAGATGAAGGTCAAAGCTAAGAGTGGTCAAAGCTCTGCCGGAGGTGGGAGTTGAAGACCGTCTTAACAGGTTCTTCTGCCAGGCGTTCCCAGCAGACCCGAACTATGCCATCTGATCCAAATCACCACCAGGTGGTGATCAGTTGACAGCGCCGCTCCTCTCCACTCAGGTGTCCAAAACATACGGCCGCAGGTCAGTTGATACAACTACAAAGTCTATCATCGACCTGCGACCTAGGCTGCCCTGGTACCAAGTGTACCGATGGGCATCCTTATGTTCGAGCATAGTGTTCGTTATGGCCAAACTGCGGCTTGCACAGAAGTCCAATAACGAAACACCACTCGAGTTCAGATCAGGCGGGCTGTTCCTCCCAATCACACCCCTCCAGGTCAAGCTGTCATTGCCCACATGAGCATTGAAGTCCCCCAGCAGGACAATGGAGTCCCCTGATGGAGCACTATCTAGCACTCGTCCCAGGGACTCCAAAACGGGTGGGTACTCTGAACTGATATTTGGCCCATAAGCACAAACAACAGTCAGGACCGTTCCCCGACCCGAAGGCGCAGGGAAGCTACCCTCTCGTCCCCCGGGGTAAACCCCAACACACAGGCAGAGAGTCTTGGGGCTAACAGAAAGCCAACCCCAGCCCTCCGCCTCTCACCCGGAGCAACTCCAGCAAAGAAGAGTGTCCAACCCCTCTCAAGGACTTGGGTTCCAGAGTCAATGCAATGTGTCGAGGTGAGTCCGACTATATCCAGCCGGTACCGCTCAACCTCTGCCACAAGCTCCGGCTCCTTCCCCGCCAGCGAGGTGACGCTCCATGTCCCAATAACCAGTTTTCTTGTCCGGGGATCGGACCGCCAAGGCTCCCGCCTCGGTCTGCCACCCGATCCACACTGCACCGGACCCTTCATGTTCCTCCTGTGGGTGGTGGGTCCACAGTTGGATGAGCCCATGTATCCGGGTCGGGCTGGGCCCGGCCGGGCCCCATGGGCGAAAACCCGGCCACCAGGCGCTCGCTCACGGGCCCCAACCCCAGGCCTGGCTCCAGGGTGGGACCCCGGTAACCCTCCGGGCCGGGTACTCCGACTCTTTGACTTTACCTCCATGAAAGATCCTGTGAACCGTTCTTTGTCTCACCCTTCACCTAAGACCAATTTGTCATGGGAGACCCTACCAGGGGCATAAAGTGCCCCAGACAACATAGCTCCTAGGATCATTAGGGCACTCAAACTCCTCCACCACGATAAAGTGACGGTTCAAGGAGGAGATTTCAAATAATCTTTTATGTAAATTTTTGAGCAAATTTAGACTTTTCCTAAAGCCATTTTTATGTTGTAGCAGTGTAAACCTTTATAATTCAGTTAACCTCCAGTGTGTTTTTTTTTCTTTAGTCAGTGGTTACAGTGGGCAGAAATCTAAACCTGAAACATGGAGTAACGATGATCTCAGTGAAACATGGACTTTGTCTCATTATCTAGTGGCCAAATGAAACAATAATAACTTTTGATGTGTCACAAAGAGCTGCTGACTGTGCTGGGAATTTGAATGTGGGGTTTAGGTAAGATGTGTTACTTCACATTGTGTTTTTGTGGTATTTTACAGCAACACTGAGAACTGCTCCTCCACAGGGACATCCCATTCCTCCAGATTATGGTCCTCCACCCTATGAGGGTCCACAACCAGGCTTCCTACCTCCACATGTTCCTGGAGAAGGCCCCATGCCCATGCCCATGCCCATGCATGGACCAGCACAAGGTGCTCCAGCTTCCAACAAATGCAAATAAACACAGAAAACATCTCAAAATTACTAAATGTAGGCCCATCCATTCCTGTACCAGACTTTATTAATGCTTGTGACTAGGGCTGGGCAATACATAGAAAATGAATCGTTATCAAAATTTCTCCCCTTATCGAGAAAATGTTTCTCATGTCAATAAATTTGATGATAAAAAAATGAGAAGAGGTGTGTAGGTTGGCAACACTCATGTCCCTTTAAGAAGCTGTGCCACCTTAAGTCAGTAAGTCTCAACGACTACCGTCCTGTTGCACTTACACCCACCATCATGAAGTGCTTCGAGCGGCTAGTCATGACACACATCAAGACCCTGTTGCCCCCCTCACTGGACCCACTGCAATTTGCATACCGCCATAACCGCTCAACAGATGACGCCATTTCCACTGCACTCCATCTTGCCCTCACACACCTGGACAAGAAGGACACACATGTTCGAATGCTGTACATAGATTTCAGCTCAGCATTCAACACGATCATCCCCCAGCAACTGATCGGAAAACTGAGCATGTTGGGCCTGAACACCTCCCTCTGCAACTGGATCCTGGACTTTCTGACTGGAAGGCCTCAGTCAGTACGGATCGGGAACTGCACCTCCAGCACCACCACACTAAGCACGGGGGCCCCACAAGGCTGTGTGCTCAGTCCTCTGCTGTTCACACTGCTGACTCATGACTGTGTAGCAACACACAGTTCAAATTACATCATTAAGTTCGCTGATGACACAACCTTGGTGGGTCTCATCAGCAAGAACGACGAGTCAGCATACAGAGATGAAGTGCAGAGGTTAACAAACTGGTGTAAGGTCAACAACCTGTCTCTGAATGTTGACAAGACAAAAGAGATGGTTGTTGACTTCAGGAGGATACGGAGTGACCACTCACCACTGAGCATCAACGGCTCCTCTGTGGAGATCGTCAACAACATCAAATTCCTGGGAGTTCACCTGGACAAAGACCTCACCTGGTCCCTCAACACCAGCTTCCTGTACAAGAAATCCCAACAGCGTCTCTTCTTTCTGAGAAGACTGAGAAAGGCCCAGCTTCCACCAACGATGCTAACCACCTTCTACAGAGGAACTATTGAGAGCATCCTGAGCTGCTGTATCACTGCCTGGTTTGGGAACTGTGCAATCTCTGACCGCAAAACCCTACAGCGGATAGTGAAAACAGCAGAGAAGATCATAGGAGTCTCCCTCCCCTCAATCAAGGACATCTACACCACACGCTGCATCCGCAAAGCCACCAGCATTGTGGCTGACTGGTCACACCCCTCTCACACACTCTTCACACTCCTGCCATCTGGAAGAAGGTACCGAAGCATTCGAGCACTCACATCCAGACTGTGCAACAGCTTCTTCCCACAGGCCATTCGTCTCCTCAACGAAAAGGGACTGGACTGATAAACGCATGCATGCACACACACACTCACACACACACACGCACGCACACAAACACGCGAACACACTCATGTTCTGTCCTTAATTAGATAGTTTATTTTTCTTATATTTTTTCATGTTGTAAATTTATGTTGCATGTAGCACCTTGGTCCTGGAGGAACGTTGTTTCGCCTCACTGTATACAAACCGTATATGGCTGAAGTGACAATAAAGTTGATTGATTGATTGATTGATAAAAATGTGACTTAAATTAACACTTGTGACAGCCCCATCTAGTGGACAACTTTTGTTTCTGCGCATACCTGTAGTTATCATCCATATATCATTATCAAGGTGAAATCCACAATGTATCGTGATATTAATTTTAGGCCTTATCGCCCAGCCCTTCTTGTGACTTATTACAGAAACTATGCCATCACATTTAGCCACTAGATTCAGTTTCACTTCATTTTGTTGTCTTTTCGCTGAAGAACACATTCACTTATGTGAGTCCACACTTCAGGTCATACAAAGGGTTCATAAAACATTCTACACAGGTTATGGTTGAGGGCTAAAAGTCTCACAATACAATGAATAAATAAGTCATTAAGATTTTTTTTTTAAGTTTCATTCTTAAAAAAAAACAAGATGAATAATTTTGTAAGTATATTTTACTAAATGTGTCATAGATAAAATATTTTTGTCTCTTTAAAATCATGTAATTTTTTTCAAGATTAAATATAGTTTTTCATGATCAGTGTTTCTGTACATCAAGACAAGATTTATTTACATTGCACATTTAAATGGCAACAGCCCAAAGTGCTGTACTTGGACAGTAAAAAGCATTAAAAACAATTAGAGCTGCCAAAGAATTACAAGAAACTAAAATCACAGGCAGAAAAGACAAAATACATAAATAACAAATTACAAAATAATAAAAACAACAATAAAAGATCACTGATCAAAAGAATAACAGAAGCCTGCAGCTATGATTATCTTTGACTATCATACAAATGTTTTGGCTGTCTAAAGGTCTGACTGATTCCTTGCAGGTGGCCACTACCCACCACCACCCGGTCTCTTTGCTCAACCAATGCCAGGACAGATGGGTCCTGGTTCCAGTCACTTTGTCCACATGGGAGGTCACACAGCGACCGTCTTGGCTCCTCCAGGCGCAGCCACCACTGTGACAGTACTGCAGGGCGAAATGTTTCAGACATCACCGGTGCAGACTGTGTGTCCGCATTGCCAGCAGGCCATCGTCACACGCATCTCTCATGACATCGGCCTCATGAACACACTCTTCTGCCTCTTCTGTTTCTTTGTAGGGTAAGTCAGTCATATGCTGTTATAGCTGGAGTCTAGCGTTTAACACAGTCCAGCTTAGCTGAGATTTGGCCTTAAGTTTAAGTCTATCAATAAGTGATGTTTTTGTTGTCATAAGTATTACTATTTAATTTGATAGACATAAATCAGTAAAGTACAATAATCAGTAGATAATTGATAATTATCTACAAGAGTAGAACGCGTATTCCCATCTATCACACACACACACACACACACACACACACACACACACACACACACACACACACACACACACACACACACACACACACACACACCACAATGACATTTGTTTTTGATTTAGCGAAAGGCTGAAATCAGTCCCATGTTTTGCCAGTGTCTGTACAAAGATGCACCCTCTGAGTAGGCAGTGGTAGCGAAAGTTTAGACAGTTGTTACTAATGTATTTGACCACAGGATCTGGCAGATCACATGGCACCATTACTAAGCCTGCTTTAGATGGGTGCTGGGTTAGATAAATGTGCAAAGGTCTGAACTGCTGAGATTACTGTGACAAAGCACTCGTCTAGATATGATGCTCAGTTACTGTTAGAGTAATGGAACATCCTGAGATAAACCTTTGTTAGGAATTTAAAGTAGTTCATGCTTGCGCCTTGTCGCAGTTTCAAAGGTGTGGTTCACTCGTTAAATCGATACATTTGCAGTGGTTTCTAGTAGGAATCAGGGTTTTTCCTGGCTCAAATTGTGGCAGAGGTGGCACCATCCTGACCGTGCGCCAGCACATGCATACTCTGTGTATTCAACTGCCTCACTTTTTTAAAGGCTAACAGGGGTGGACATTAACTTCAAAACCAACCGGCCAGCCGGGCCGGTAACTCTGAATATTTACCGGCCCTGCCAAGAAACAAGAGAGAGAGAGAAAAAGAGCTGAGAAAAGGCAGAGGAAATGGAGGAAAAACTACAGCTAAGCCGAGGCACGCCTCGACTGGGGCGCGCCTGATCCGAACTGAGCAGCGGCCGAATTTCGTGAGCGATTCGCTTCTCGGCGCTTCCGCGGCCGGTGTGTCCCCGGCGTAAACGCCGGCTTTCTGCCACTCCCCCTGCTGCTTCCGTCTGCTCTCGTCTGTTTTCCAGGCAAGGCGCTGCTCAACTCGAACACGGCCATTCTCTGTGCCTCCCGTCTTCTTTAAACCGCCAAGAATCATTTCACCTACGCACACGCTTCTCTGCTTCATACCGTTTCGAACTGTCTCGCTTCTCCTCACCAGTTTTAAAGCTTTTTGCCGGAGATTTCATCAAGAAATCCCATCCTTGTGGTGGCGCGATCTTCCTGCGTGCTTGTGTGTTTCTAGCGTGGTTCCACTTCGTCTTTAATAGTGAACTTATAGTTCACGTGACTATAACTAGAATTGTGCAGTACGTGGCTAGAGGCGCGCAGGTTCACGCGCGCGAAACGAAAACAGCGGCTTCCTACAGGGCGGGGCCATGATGTAGGTGAAAGCCGGTGTGTAAATGACAAATAAGGCTTGGGCGCCACCCGGGCGGTAAGTCGTCAAGTATTTACCGCCCGACGAGAAAATTTAGCGCCATTGGCGCTCGGGCGCTTTAACGGTCCACCCCTGGCCAAATATTATAAAAGGCTCAATAATAAGCATTAGATTGAAGAAGAAGAAGAAGAAAATATCATTTCTATAGCGCCTCTCAAGATAAAAATCACGAGACGCTTCACAAAAACAAAAACAAATGTTAAAATATAAAAAAGCATTTAGAAAATGTTAAAAAATATATTAAAATGAGCATAAATAGGCAATTGTGATTAAAAAATGTTAAGAAAGAGAGAGAGTGAATAGGAAAGAGGGAAATCAGTGGATCCTGAGGAAGGTGGAATAGGTGGGGAGAGCAGAATAAAGAGAGAGAGGTGAAGGTCATACAAAAGCCAGCTTGAACAAGTGAGTCTTCAGCTGCTTTTTGAAGGAGACCACTGAGTCCACTGATCTCAGGCTCAGGGGGAGAGAGGTCCAGAGTCTGGGGGCCACAGCAGCAGATGATCTGTCACCTTTGGTCTTTAGCCTGGTGCTGCACAACCAGTAGGCTTTCATCACTGGACCTCAGGGACCTGCTGGGGGTGTAGGGACTAAGAAGATCTCCAATGTAAGATGGTGCGTGTTCATGTAAGGCCCTATAGACCAGAACCAGGATCTTGAAATGAACGCTGAAGTTGACTGGCAGCCCGTGAAACTGGAGGAGAAGCGGGGTGATGTGGGTGTGTTTGGAGGACTTGGTCAGGAGCCAAGCACAGGCATTCTGAACCACCTGTAGACGGTTCAGGGAGGTTCTGCTCAGACACGTGAAAAGAGAGTTACAGTAGTCTAAGCGTGAGGAGATGGTGTGGAGAACTGTCTCAAGTTCAGAGCGAGACAGAATGGGACTCTGCTTAGCAATGTTCCTGAGATGGAAGAAGGAAGAGCGAACAGGAGAACTGACATGAGAATCTAGGGTGAGAGCTGGGTCAAAGGTCACGCCAATATTCCTGACAGAAGGTTTGGTGTGGGAAGCAAGCTGACCAAGAGAGTCTCTGACTTTGGGAACCAGCTTGTCCGGGGCACAGATGAGGATCTCAGTCTTATCTTCATTCAGCTGTAGAAAGCTCCCAGCCATCCAGGTTTTAATGGAGTCTAAGCAGGTGTGTAACAGCTGCAGCTTAGACATCTCATGGGGCTTAAAGGAGATGTACAGTTGGATGTCATCTGTATGAAGATGGTAGGAGATTTCTTTGAAGGAGCTCAGGATGTGCTGAAGAGGAAGCAGATAGAGGAGGAAGAGCAGAGGCCCCAGCACAGAACCTTGTGGGACACCATGGGTAAGAGAGGTGGTGGAGGACCTAAACTTGGAGGCGGCCACAGAAAAGGAGCGCTCAGAGAGATAAGAGGAGAGGTGTTTAGTTCCCATTTTCCCATCTGATATTTATAGTTAAAAAATATTTTAAACATTTGACCTAAATTTCAGTAACATTTTAGGTTTGTATTAATAACACTCACCTCAGTCAAAATAACACATAAATAAATCCAGTAAAATATAATGCATTTCATTAACATGCATTTGTATTGGAAATGGTAATAACATTTCATTTCTGCTGATAACAATTAGAGGTGCTGAAAAAAATCGATTCAAGTCTGTATCGGGATTCTTTTTTTATAAAGATTCAGAATCGATTCAAAAAGGTTCAGAATCGATTCCAAGAACTCAAATATGTGGCATGTTACAGGTTTGAGATGCACTTTTTTGATCTTTGTTAGGAGAGTCGGTACTCCGTTTACTTTTGTGGTCCCATAAATTGAGATGATTTATGTTTGAATCTGCTGATAAGAGGACTCTTGAATGTAATTTTTGCCATACTCAGAAATTTGAGATATTCTCATATTTATTTTCTAAGTTGATAAATGAGTACTCAGGATTACTCATGTAACTTGTTTCTACACATACTTGAAAAGTATTTGACTGTATTACTTTCAAAGCTACTGTTGGGTAACTACAGATTTGTTATATTTTACAAGGTAAGCAAAAATAAATGTTGCCTTTTGGTCAAAAGATTGCTTCTGTTTACAGTTTTAGAATCACTTTATTTTACCTTGTAAATTTGCATTTTTGGAGCATGACCAGTTTAAAGTCAAATAAAAATGTCCCATAGCTTTAACTAACGTGTACAACAAAGTAGTTCATCCTGGAGCTGACACTCTTTGTCAATACTGATTGTGAATCGATTTAAATTGAGAATCGAGAATCGATTCTGAATCAAATCGGCACCCCAAGAATCGGAATCGAATAAAATCGTGAGTTGCTCTAAGATTCACATTCCTACTAACAATGTAATGGTGGCATGTCTAGGGGGTGTTCTGTTTTGCCTTGGCCCCCAAAAACCTTGAAACGGCCCTGGGTGTGTGACTGAGTCTTGAAGGTGATCTGAATTGTATCAAATGTATAATTATTACATATGTATAACTTCATGTTTTATACAGGTAAAAACATGTAGTGGAGATAAATCTACCTACATTTGACTTTCAAGCTTTGTTTTCTTGTTTTTATGTAACTATTTTCCTGTCCTGTCCGTCTCTCATCTTCCTGCGTCTCTTCTAAATTCTGCAGAAAAACTGCTGCCTGGATTTTTACTTTTTTCACCTCCTGACCGCAAAGCGGAGTGCACGTTTCGATGCTGCATCAGTGAGGTGAAATCACCGCAGCACACAATGAGTGGAGCGCGTCAGGAATGATTAAAAGACAGAGTAACAGAGGATTTAAACAGATATGAACGATCATGCGTTAATAATGTTTTGTTGCACCACCTTGAGAATGTATCGTGCGCAGGACGCCGCGGGCGCATCAACGATCAGCGCTTTGCATCCTCTCCGCTCAACAGAATCCCGCTGCGCTGAGAGTCCATAAATATTGTAATATAGGCAGAAACTGGATCTTTCGCTGAAAAATATCTAGCCCCCCATAACTCGATCTCTGCTCCTGGATGAAAAACTGGACATTTTGATCAATGTAGGGACCCCCCCCCCCAGGGCCCGGACGCCCCAGACAGAGAGTGAAAAGTGGACATGTCCGGGGGAAAGAGGACGTATGGTCAGCCTACAGTAACACCAACCATAGATATATACCAACTAACGAGGAAAGCAAATTTTGATCAGCTTTTTCTGCAGCGGTTTTAGCGCATTTTGGTGTACTGCTGTTGATACAGTGCCCCTATAATGGTGCAACACTGCAACTGCAGTTAAAATAACATCCATGTAGATGGGGGTAGAGTGAAATCAGGCTGGGGCAGCACAAAAATAGCTGGAGGCAGCCGCCACCATCGACATATAAATATTGGACAATGGGTTTCCATAGGCTCCAATAACACATTTTTGAAGAGAAATGGGAGGTGGACACCGCCGCCATTTTGACCGTGTCACAGGTTCCGTCAAGCCCAGACAATTCCACAAAAGGGAAGAGAGGTGGCGCTGAGGGTGGGGCTGTAAGGCTGGGATCAACTGACGACACCCGGTCGAACTAGCTACAAGCTAACCTGAAGCTAACCCAAAGCTAACGCGGAGGTGGGAGCTAAGCTAACGGAGGTAGCAACCGAGCTACAACTGGAGTTAACTGTGCACAACACCAGAGCTTCTGAGTCAGAGATACGCCGGGCTGACCGCTGGGTAAAACCAGGTGGAACACAGAGGTCTCCCGAAAGCTGCTGAAAGCCGGCAGCCGCACAGCAGCCCACGTAGCAGCCAGAAGCCGCGGTCAGACAGAGATGTGCCGAGCTGCGGGGAGGGGAGAACCGGGTGGAAAACAGAGGTCTCCCGAGAGCTCCAAAAGCCGATAGTCGGAACCCAGCGCCACCAACATGTTATATTTCAACCCATTTTCTAAAGTGCAGCATTATGTTAAATGCACTGGGTTTTACCCTATTACATATAAATTTCATGGTTAAACAGTACATGTTAAAATCTAAGCTCAGCTCGGCAGTGACCTAAAATACATAAATATAATTTTACTTACCGAAAAAAATGAAGTACTCCTTGGACGCTCTATTAGTGCAATTAATGCCACAGCAAGTCATTTTGTCCAACAATTGCACAAAAAATATCCAAAAAAGAATAAACACTGAGACTCAAAATCCCGGAGCAGTTTCCAAGCCAGACCGAGGCTCTACCGAGGCCTTTCCATGGAGCTAGCTCTGTGGTCACGTGGGTCTGATGCTCATTAATTATACAGAATTTTAGGCTTTTAATACACTTAAACAGAAGAGTGAGAAAAAATTCACCCCCCTCAGAGTTGTCATGAGTGAAAACTAGATCATTTAAACAAAAAACATGTTTTGGTACCAGGCTGTAAACATGTTTATTTCTGCTGTGAAATTGGTATTTTTAACATGGGAGTCAATGAGGATTTGCTCGCTTCTGACGCCAGCCCCCAGCGGATGAGGGTGGAACTGCAATTTTTGTCACTTCCGCGTTGGACTCGAATTTTTCACCAGCATTGTGGGGGCTTGGCCGCCGCGCAAATTTGAACGCAGGAAAAGCCCTGGGAATTAATGCCTGTACTTTGTGGGGGAAAATGTTCTGGTGCACCTGTTTCAGGAACTAGAGTGAGCCACAAGAGAAGTGTGCTTCAGACAGCATAATTTGAGTCTTATTTCTTGATTTCTTGCCTTGGATTGGAGAACAGCATGTGACTCTACCACTGTATTTTTACTTTGTAACTGAAGTTTTTATCTCCACAAGGAGCACAAGCCTGGATGAGTTCTTCCGTGTGGTGGAGTTGCTAATGCTAATGGTTAGTTTCTATTAGCCAAGACATTCTCTCCTCTTTCCTGGACACTAAACCAACAACAGCCTTCCCCGTCATAAGTCAAGATGGGTGATTCCATGAATGTTAAGTGACAGTGTGAGGTAGATCTGTCATGCTTTAGAAATCCTAGAGTTTCAGAAGGTAATGCAACAGTTAGGTGTAGGAGACTATTTTCATGTTTAGCAAGATTTTGCTTTGTTGTCTGTCAGGGATGTAAGAAAATATCAATATGACAATTTATCGTGATATATTTTCCTGCAATATTATACTGATATTCAAAAGCAGTGTATCTAATTTTAGGAAGAATTTACATGCAAATATTTATGTATTTTCTTTTCTTTTGGTGCAATTCAAACACTGACCGCTAGTTGGCAGCAGTGTGCAGTGGGTTTTGTTTCCACCATTGAAATGTAAATCTCCATATCATGGTTCAGATACCTCATGTTAAACATGTAATGTATCAGTTTGGAACGTTTATTGAATATTCCTACAACAAATTCTGCCAAAAAAAAGGATAATAATGTATCGTCTCCCCTGTATTGTGTTACTTATCTTATCGCCAAAATTTCACCAATACACATCCCTACTGTCTAGCCATGATCCATTGTAGCCTCAGCAGGTCTATCATGGGATTGAACTATTTTAGGTCTGACCAATCACAGTGCTCTGTTTGTAGAGAGGAATTGGGTAGGCTTGGCACAAAAACTGCCACAGACAAAGCTACAAAGATGGCGTCGACTCAGGAACGACACTTGTTTGAAACGGCTTCGGCATCAACTTTGGGCAATTTAGACTTGGGCTTTTCTTTGAGACATGAGAAGGGTTGGAAAATCCTGGGCCTTGGGTGCTGGTATCCAGCATGTTTTAGTTGTTTTCCTGCTTCAACACATCTGATTCATTAGCTCATCAGGCTCTGCAGAAGCCTGTTAATAACCTGCTTATTAGAAGCAGTTGTGCAGAAGCAAGGAAACAACCAAACATGTTGGATAGCTGCATTCGAGGTCCAGGATTGCCTAGCCAAGATAGATCTTCTTCTTTGTCTTCATATGTGTGGTGGATTGTCCAGTAGACTGGTTTCCATAGCGATTAAGTCACATTGTTCATTGCTCTGATTGGTCCTACTGCTGTCTAGTTGTGTGCAGAGAAAATTTGAAAGACAACCATAGATTCCACCCAATGACTGAGTTCCGTCTATAGATCAGGACCAAACTATATATTTACTAGGGATGTAAGAAAATATCGATATGGCAATATATCGTGATATTTTTCCCAGCAATATTATATCGATATCCAAAAGCCGTGTATCGGAAATATCGATATGGCAATATATCGTGATATTTTTCCTGCGATTATTACATCGATATTCAAAAGCCGTGTATCTAATTCCTGAAAGAATTTACATGCAAACATTTGTGTATTTTCTTTTTGTTTTGCGCAATTCAATCGCCACCCGCTAGTTGGCAGCAGTGTGCAGCGGGTTTTGTTTCCACCACTGAAATGTAAATCCCTCCATCATGGTTCAGATACCTCATGTTAAACATGTTACGTATCAGTTTGGACTGTTTATTGAACATTCTTACAATAAATTCAGTAAAAATAATTGCTTGTAACGCCTGACTGAATGTATCGCAATGTATCATGATGTATCGTATCATCTCCCCTGTATCGTGATATGTATCGTATTGCCAGAATTTCAAAAATACACATCCCTAATATTTACATATTTAGGATGGGTTCCTAGGCTGTGAGTAAGCGGTACAGTTGGCTGTAGTTATGATTAAAACACATTTTAAAACACTGAAAACAATAATAGACCACCACAAACATACACGGGTGTATTAATGATGAAGGGTATTACTTTAAAACCTATTTGGACACCAGCTAATTAAACTTGATTTATTTCTTGATCAATTAGACTTCTAAAGAACATTAGGACAGACAACACCACTCTAAAGTTGAACACTGCTGATTCAGAAGACCAGGGGCCTCCTTTCACAAATGTACATAGAAATGCTCCTATATTCTATCCTACGATCGAAATTTAGAATGTGTGTACGAACATTTAAGAGTGATTTATGAAATGTGCAGTGGCCTCTCCAACACACGTTCCTCTGCAGTCGTCTGATGATAAATCCCACCTGTGCATACCCAGGTGCTCGTGTCCATTTGCCATCATTTACATACAGAAACGCCCTCAGTTAACCATATTTAGTCACGCTATGTCCTCAGCATGTGAGGGGAAGAAAACTTTGACAGCAAGATCGAAACACTGGCCGCTGAAGCACAAAAGAACCAAACAAGTTGCAGAGGTTATAAACGCGGTTGGGACAGAGGAGAGGTTCCTGTCGGAACTAATAAAAAATGAATCCGATAAATCATGGAGTAACGGGTTGTTAAGGAGTCATTCTGTGTGGAGTTAGTTTCATTTGGAAATGTTGTCTGAGAGCGCAGCTTCAGCCTCTTCTGAGCTGTCATTCACTCTGGTTGCGTGTATGATTGGGGAGCAGAGGAGGTTCTGAGGGGTTCTCGAAATTGTAAAATGTGAACTGGAGTTGGATTCATGCGGTTTATCTGTTGCTCTACAAAGGGTCCCAAATCACAGCATAGGAGAAGGATTTCCTTTGAGATCAGTGCGCTCACAGAGAACACGTTCTATCCTGTGTGCAGGTTCTGGTAAATCGTCCAATAACACAGAACAGCCATGATATAATGTCAGATTCCTGTCGGTCACAGCTGTCTTTTATTGGTTTTAGCACCAATTATGTGCAAAAACCGTTTTTCCACTGACCGTTACATACTGGATAAATAAAACTTGTGGACGAGAAACACATTTGGATGACTGAGACATTCGGTATTGTGCTTTACCGTTCTGCCACTAGGTGCTGTGCATACGCACGTTCAGAGATGTTCTTACATTTAGGAACGTTTCTACGCACAAGTACAAAATGATAAATACCACACAATGAGTAGAATCGTTCCTACGCACGCAATACACTCAGATTAAAAACGAAACTGTTGAAACATTTTCACTGGAATGTGGAAAACAGTCATTGTTAGGAGCAATCTCATTTCCTTGGAAACTTTCACAAACACAGACCACTTGTTCTGGTTCACCTCCTTTTCCTTTGTTTCTGAGCACTGAAGAGGTATGTGCAGGTGTTTGACATGTTTCCTGTTCCCTCTTGATTTACAGGTGTGATCTCGGCTGCTGCTTGATTCCATGTCTGATCGATGACCTCAAGGATGTGACACACACCTGCCCTCACTGTAAGGGCTACATTTACACATACAAGCGTATCTGCTAACCACCAACAGCCGTTTGCCACAGAGCCATGTACACACACACACACACTCACAGCTTTCCCTGCTGGTAGTAACAGCAGCTCCTCCCTCCCTGCCTTCCATTTTTGCAGTGTTGTGTGGCCCTCTTATGATGCAAGTGCAGTTTTTATCCCCCCTAAGCTCCCAGTAAAATACCTGTGTATATATACTTCTATATACTTCTCTGATGTACAAAATTGAAAATGTCCAAATGTTTGAGCTAAAGGGCACTACAAGAACTAGACACTGATGGGCTGCAGATACACACACACACACACACACACCCTGCAGCCCTTCTTGTGAAGTTATGCATGTAAATGAAAAAATAAGTAAACAAAAACTGTGAAAATTGTCACTTTATTTGAATTCATCTATGAATCTTGGTCAGTGTATGAAGAATGTTGGGTTAAGATGTTTGTTTCTTTTGAGACTTTCATCTTAGATGTTTTATCCTTTAACAAGTTTGTTGAGAAATGTTAACATTTTGTCTCTCACTGTTTTTTTGTTCTTACCTACCTAGTTGTTTCTTGTTTATCATTATCGTTGGTGTAATGTGAAAACCGTCCATTTAAACAAATACATTTATGTTTTATGCTTTAGTTACTTGTATTCATTACTCCAATCAACATGTTCTGATTCACTGTTTAGCTGTTACCTTTGTCCCCGTCTGTAGTTTTGAGAATAAAGTTAATATTTGCACTTTATAAGTTTAAACACACATTTTGTTTTCATTAAAACACGATTTTACCCTGAATAAAAGCAAAGTTTTATCCAGGTGTTACTAGTTTCTGTAGTCGACCGAGTTATGAGCCATATTCAGACTTTTGGGCCATTCCCATCTGTGCCGGGTCGGGTAGCCCCGGTCGGCCCCAGCCTGGCCCGGTTGATTCCACACATCCTTGCCTTAAGCCCATGTGGGCTGATTCTACCCACCAATCAGAGGCTTGCTCTAATGGAAGGTGTGAATTTGCTGTCAGCAGTGGGTGTGTTGGCCCTGGTCGGCCTGAAGCAGACCCCCTCGAGAAGAGGGCTGAGAATGAGCCTTGGTTGGCCCGGAAAAATACCAGGCCACCCAGATATGTAAACAACCTACGCTACCCGGCCCGGGCCGACCCGGTACAGATGGGAATGGTCCACAAGTGTACTGAAGGCGATAGACAAGCTAATCACTTAAAAACGAAAGCATGACATCTTGGTGTGTGTTTTTCTGTCAGGCTCATGCAGCACCATTTCAGATTTAGCTGATCTTAAGAGGTTTTAAAAACTGAGTACTAAGCCATTAAGGATTCACCTAAATGAAGGTTCTTCGCTTAGATGAAATGAAATACATTTGATTAGTGAGATTTTAATGAGCTTCATGAAGTTGTTGAATTAGACCTTTTGCAAAAGTGATTCTGAACACTAACAGTGAATCATCTCAGCATGTGGGATACATCAGCCACTAATGCTTCTCGCAGTTTGCCTGGGCTATACCTTTAGTAATAATCATTGATGTGCTCCGACTCTGTGCATATTTTTTTCCTCAAGACTGAAAAATCTGTGCAAAATATAAAACAAAAAAAAAAACACATTTTGAGAAGGATTGTAATGGAACTTTAGTCATGTTGTGAAAACTGCTGGTCTGCATCGCTCCAGATGTCTGATGTACAACTATGTACGCAATTTATGTGACTGTACACAGGCGCTATTTTACCAATAAAAATCATGAAGTAAACACTTTGTCATGTGGAACATTTATCACAACTGGAAAGTAAATGGTGCAAATAAATACAGAAGAAAAGGAAAACCAGGCCAGAAATCATCTGAACATTTGAAATAACTACAAGTAGAAAACTTTCAGTCTCTCCATCGATGTCCACACTGGGCATTACAGCATTTGTAGAAAGTTGTCATGGGTTCATCAGCAGATCTGGTCTGAATCTGCATGAAATACGCCCGAGGATGCTCACACTTGGGACATTTTTCTGTACAGAGATAGAGAAGGAATATGTCAGCTTAGAGGCCACACCGGTATGTACCATCTTATACCCCAAATACCTCTGGTATGTCCAGGTTTTAGTTTAAGAATGTTAATCTTAAGAAATCACTAATCCTGTTTAAGGATCATGAATTGTTTTAAGGAGATAAATAATAGTTTATTAAGCATCTAGCCAATTCTACTATGACCTAAATAAAGATACAGGATATCAGGATTGTTAAATGGTTTGGCTTGAACAAAAAGAAAAACTGAAAATCCTGGATTAATCCGTTTGTATAATTGAAAATTGGAAGTACACTTTTCTCATTTTAGGCGTTAAAACACTTTAATTACTTAACTAAAACTAAAGAATATGCTAAACATTTGTATGCAGACTCCAGGAAGTCATTTTAATGTTATTTACCTGCAGTTGAATCCACGTTCTCCCACGCAGCAGCCCCACCGAGAACATCATCCACCTCCTTTAATTTGGGATACTTTCGGTTGTTTACCTTCAAGAGAAATAAAACAAGACCTTAAACTTACAAACCTAACGACAAATATTTTGTGTTTCTGACACCAACTAGATGATGAAACCTGGTTTAGTTACGGGTGACTCCTACCTTTCTTGTGATGTTGTGTATGTAAGGACAGGTGTTACACGCGAACCTCATACACTTCTGTCCTTCTTCTACGATCAAAACGTTTCCACAGGTAGGGCAAAAGAGTAGCATTTTAAATGTAATCAATTTGGTCGCAAACCATCAACTAAATGGAATCTAAATGTGATTTCACCAGAAACCATCTGCTGCGTAGAGAAAACCGGAAGTCGACTGATGAAAACAGCTCGAACGGAAACAACCGGAAGTCGCTAATCGTTTAAACAACATGCCTAATTGTATGTAAACAATTCTATATTAAAATGAATGTTATTAATTTATGATAAGAATACGTATTTATCAAATGTTAACGCAGCTGTTCATTTTTATTTTCATCAAGTGGAACCTTTTACATAAGATCCATTTCCGTTCCGGTAGTTTGTTTGTACTGCACACAGTTACATACGGGCTTTTGCTGTTCTAATTCTTCTTTTTTAGCAGCAGTTTTGAAGTAAACCTGTAATTGTTGTCCAGGTAAATTGTATCCAGACGACGTTTTCTAGCAGGAAACCCGGAAGGTACCCAATAGCTGGATGATTATCGGATGGAGGAGGAGCAGAGTCCAGGTTCTGCTGTAGTCAAAGGAGGTGAAGGAGCGCAACTAGTGCAGGATGAGGAGGTGAAAAAGGAGAGCTTCCTAAACGAGGCAGCTGCTGAGGAGGAGGACGATGAAGATTCTCTCCCTCACTCTGAGATCCTGGATATTTTTGAAGAAGGACTTGCTCGACTTGTGCAGGACCCTTTACTCTGCGACCTGCCAATCCAGGTGTTATTTCTGAGTGCCCTCAGTTACTCTGAAGGAAAACGTGTGTTGTCACCTTTATTTGAGATTCACTCATTGGAGCTGGTCTATTTTATTTTTAAAGTCCAATGACGATTGTAGAAGATATTTGGGCCAGGATTATACTTTTGTAGGATTTAGTAAATCACACTGTTACAATATCGTTGGGTATTGCGATGACGATAACAGTTGTGCTAAATCCTCATTTTCCTCACTCTGTGTTACCACACATCACTCACCACCGGTGTGTTTTCAGCAACAGCATTAAGGAGATTCAGTCACATGAACATGTCCCCATCTACTGTGAATCAAGCTGTTTTTGTGTGCCACTGAAGCAGTCACAGTGATGATGTTTTGTGATACATTGTGCAGCTTTTGTTACTTTAGTCAAAAGTTTGGACACACCTCACCTGCAATTTCCAAACAGTCTATTTAGATACCTATTAAAACTCAAATGGATCCCATTTGCACTACAAAGTGTTTACAAATCAATTTGCAAGCTTCCAATGGAGTAAAAACAGCAGATCACTGCATATTACAGTTTTTATAAGAGCAAAGACAAAATGATCTCCCCAAAGTCCTTGCTGATGTCTCTTCTTGCTTGTATGTTAAAGCTGTGTGATTTGTACTCTGTCCTAATATTGGTTACACAAGAGGACAGCAGTAGAAGTATTAGCTCACGTCTACCTTGTGCATTTTGTTAGGTCAATAAAGTATATTCAAAATATTTCACTGTATTTTGCTCAACTTGTCAAAGTATTTCCAAATTTAAGACCAGCAATAAATCTTCATAATCTAACAGCAAGTCCTCTCAGGGTTGTGAGCTTTTCTAGATGATGATGGTCTGATGTGTGCAGAGAAATGGTAATCTGTGGTGTCAATTTTAATGTTTTTTTTTTCTGTACCATCAGGTCACACTGGAAGAAGTAAATTCTCAGATAGCTTTGGAGTACGGCCAGGCGATGACTGTGAAGGTCGTGAAAGCAGATGGTGAAATCATGCGTAAGTGTTGCTTTTTCATTGTTTTATTATTTATTTTTTATCAACTTTCTATTTTTCGTTATTAGATGATTGAAAATTATAGCCTGACATCTACTATTCTCATCACACTTACTTTTTTTTATTTATTATATTTAAATGAAGCCATAGTTGTAGTCCAAAACGCTTCAGTCCTGGACCTGAAAAAGGCCATTTGCAGATTTATGGAGTTGAAACAGCAACGGGAGGGAGGAATAAAACATATCAGCTGGTAAGAATATTTAAGTAGACAAGGAAATAAAATGCATTCAATATATATATATATATATATATATATATATATATATATATATATATATATATATATATATGTATATATATATATATATATATATATATATATATATATATATATATATATATATATTACATACATACATATATATATATATTACATACATACATATATATATGTGTATATATATATATATATATATATATATATATATATATATATATGTATATATAATATATGTATGTATATAATATATTTATATATATATATGTGTGTGTATGTATGTATGTGTGTGTGTGTGTGTAATATTATTGTATGTGTATTATCTCAGGAGATATGTTTGGAGAGCCTATCATTTAGTATTTGAGGGTGTGAAGCTTGAAGATGACACCTTGAGACTAAAAGAGTGAGTATATAAAATTAAACCTTAGATATACATTTTAACATTAAAACTGACAATTCCTCCTTTTTGTGTGTGTCTCTTGTGTTATTTTCAGCTATGGGATGAGAAACAGAGACGAAGTGACGTTTATGAAGAGACTCAGAAAAAAGTGACACACCCAGAATTTGCATCATGAGGAGAGAAGCACAAAATAGTTGTAAATTCTGATGAGCTGATGTTAATTTTATAAATAAATGTTTGTTTTGTTTGTTTACTAGACTTGTTATTAATTTTCCCAATGTTCTTTTGTGATAAAACCCACTGCTATTGAGGCAAATTTAATAAACTGGGTTCTAACGACTGTTTCTTGTGACTCAAATATGAAAACGTTTTTTTTTAACTCTCAGTGCTCAGACAAGTTTACATATTGTTTTTGTAAAAGTTAAAATGGAGCATAATTTTGTTTTATGTTCCCTTGCATGAGACAGACGCTTTCAAATTCGCTCTTGATGTTTTGCAAAAAGCACAGTCATTTACCCCACCTGATGATTTGAATATTTTCTGGCATAACAGTGTTCCCTTATTCACTCGTGAGTGAGCTGAAGACGACACGGCATGGAAGCCAGCTGGTAAAACTAGAAACTTCTATAGGGATTTTATTAAAAAGCTAAATTTATTCAAATAAACATCTTTTAACTACTAGAATTCTACAATTATTTATAGGTTTCATGTTTGAGGAAACAAATTGTTCTTATATTTCTGAACCTAAATGAAGCTAACATTCACTTTAGCCTTCTTTTCTGTATCTTAGATTTTTGGTGGAATGATGGCTCATATTTTGGTTTGTGCAACATAAAAAGTCTAATTTTTGATTTGTGGTGAGCTTTATAAGTGAGGAGGAGGTTTTTTATAGTGGATGCAGACTTGAACTGGCACTTTTTAGTCCAATCATGTCTAACCTTTGGTGGTTAAAACATCTGATGGTCAGACCCAGACTATAGAGGAACCAACCTTTGGCTAAAACATTTCTAATCCTTTACATGTTTATTTAATCTGCAGATGCTTGTCTGTAAAGAGCACTCAGAACTAAACATGGTTTCAGACACTAACATGCGTTATTCTGCCGTCTAGCTGCCATCATGACGTCTTTAGAATACAATGCAAGTAAAATATCAGTGGAACTGAAACAGCTTACATTTAGAGAGCATCAGCTTGAAGACAGAAAGAAGATTCTGTGTGTTTTCCGGGAGTTGAGGAAACGCGCTGATTGTGAGCATACAGGTAAAACTAAATAAACAATTCTTCAGATCATACTGAACAAGTCAGTCCTTGTTTTTGTGTTGGGTGACGTTTGTTTATTTTAATCACCAGAAGAAGCAGCTGCAACTGAAGACGAGATTGAAGACATTAATAAAGACCTAAAGGCAATCAGTGAAAGGAAGGCTGAACTCCAGAAGACTTATGAAGAAATCCTGGTTTCCAAAGACCAGAAAAGTAAGAATTAGTAACTAGAAGCAAGTTGCAAAAAGAAAAACAATCTGTCCTGTTTTGTATTTTTGAGCCTAGAAATGAAACATTTCTCTATTTGATAGAGATTGACGATAAGGAGTCACAGGCTGGTTTTGATGAAAACGACTCTAGTGTTTACGTCGTTGAGCTTCCACCTTCCTATCCTGGTGAGCAGAAGTCTTCAAACGCATCATTTCTGTAAATTAACATTTTCTTTAAAAAATCTGAAAGTATAGCAATGCATCTCTGAAGCTGCGGATGTTTGTAAGTTATAGGATGCTGCAGATGAATATTTTATTTGGAGTCGGATGTAATTAGAAACTGAAACTGTTCATTTATAATTAGAATTTGTCCTTTCAGTTTGTCGTATTTCTAGGGAAATTTAAAATAGCAAAGCCCATCCATTCATCCATTCGATTCCGCTTATCCGGAGTCGGGTCGCGAGGGCAGCAGCCTAAGTCGAGAGGCCCAGACTTCCCTCTCCTCAGCCACTTGGGCCTGCTCTTCCGGGGAAATCCCAAGGCGTTCCTTGGCCAGGCGAGAGGCGTATTCCCTCCAGTGTGTCCTGGATATTCCTTTAGGTCACCTTTCAGGTGGACATACCCAGAAAACCTTCCAGGGATGCGTTCAGGAGGCATCTTAATCAGATGCCCGAGCCACCTCAACTGGCTCCTCTCGATGTGGAGGAGCAGCGGGTCTACTCCAAGCCCCTCCTGGATGACAGAACTTCTCACCCTATCTCTAAGGGAGAGCCCAGCCACCCTGCGGAGAAAACTCATTTCGGCCGCTTGTTTCAGCGATCTCATTCTTTCGGTCATCTACGAGGAACGTAGATCGACCGATAAAGCTGACCGGTAGCTGAGCCAGAAGGCAAAGCACTCTCTTCACCATGACCGACGGGTACAATGCCCGCATCACTGCAGAGGCAGCACCAATACGCCTGTCGATCGTAGGCTCCATCTTTCCCCCGCTCGTGAACAACCCCGAGATACTTAAACTGAGCATGAGGCGAAAACAGGAGAGCACTAGAAGAGCAGGTGAGCGGCTGAGAGCGGGTGGCCAGGGAAAGTGCAGTGCAGCGTTGAGCTAGAGATAAAGTCCAAGAGCTATTGATTGAGGAGGAGATGATGGAGGGAACCTGGAAGAGCACAGGAGCTGGTTAGCTGGAGATATTGTTGGGAGCAAAGGCAAATACTAAATTACTGGAAGCACAAGAAGTTACAAAAGCACAAGACTTATCTAGAAACACTCGAATGGCTGGAGCTACCCAAACATGAGTAATCATCTGGTGTGGTTTTGTGCCACACTGCTCCTTATATCCTCTGGCTGGTAATGATGGAATCTGCTGCAGCTGGAACGCTCTCAGGCATGTCCACCTGCAAACGAAGCTCAGGGGAAAAACACAGGGAAAGCTCACTACAGACCATGGTAGCTCCACACAGGAGAAGAGTGAACGAAAGCCCGTGAGATTAATTTACAGATGTAGTTGGGTAGCATTCCAAGTAATCCAGATTTACTGAGAAAACGTGAGTCTTAATCTCTTGTTATAATTGAAACATTTTTAGCAACAATCATCCATCCATCCATCTATCTTCTATACCCACTTGTCCATGCAGGGGGGCTGGTGCCTATCTCCAGTAATCTCTGTTTATGAAAATCTCACATCCAAATCTCAGACAATAAGATATTATTGTGAAAAGGCTCAACATTCTAGGCTGTTATTGTTAAGATCTGTAGAAAGCTCCTTTCACGTCTGGATGATCTCCAGATCTTTCCTTGGTTCTTTACTTCCAGGGGAGGAAGACCGGCAGTACTCTGTTTCTGATACACTCCCATAAATGATCATTATTCAGTACGTTGATTTTAAATTGGTTTATATAGACAAAGTATAGAAAATATAGAAATGTATAAAGATCTGTGTGTGTGACAAATCTCATCTTACATGACCAAGATGTGAAAATCATGGGTGTTGCTGCATCTAGTCTGATTCTGTAAAGAACAGACACTCTTACTTTGTGTACTGGACAGATAAACAAGGGAGACATGACCTAAACCATGCCCCAGATCAAATAAATGATCCAACAAGGCTCAAAGGGTCACACTATAACCAGCTAATGAATCCAAAACATCTGCAAAGGGATCCTGACCCTTTAGATGGTCTCTCACTCTAAGCTGCATTACTGAATTAATGGACTTTTGCACCATATTTTCATTTTTCTAGGTTTACTTGTATACGATTTGTCTTTGCAATCCCACTCCTTTCCCACTCCCTAACAGAACAAGAGTTTTTTTTGCCACTGATTTTCCTAAAATTGGATGAATGAAATATTAAAATTCAGATGTTAAGATCAAAATAATGAGATAGGATTAATAAAGAGCTGAGCTGAACCTATGTGTCTTCTCCTTCCAGCCCCTACAGTGATCCTGGATGCGGAGAAGCTTCCACCACATCCATGCAGGACTCAGTGCCCGGAATGTCGAGTGTTTATCATAACAGAAACGTTCACTTCCATCAGCAGTGTGACCTGGCTTGTGTGTTTCATGTCAGCCATGATTGGGTATGAGCTCTTCTCCTCCCGTTCTGGTAAAACATTTGCCTGCAGACCCCTCAGCCTGGTTTCACCTGTTGCTGTTCGCACACGCTGTCACCAGGCTGGTTGTCACCCACTGATCTGTCTGTTTTTGTTTCAGCTGTGTAGCCGGCTGCTGTCTCATTCCTTTCTGCAGCGACAAGTTCAAGTCCATCACACACAGATGTCCAAAGTGTAGGACACCGATTGTAACCCTCAAAACTCTCTGAGACGAGGTTTATTGGTAACATGGAGGTTTTTTTTAATGTTGATACATAACGAAGCCCATTAGCTGTGTGATTTGAGATGTTTTCCATAGATTAGGTTTACAGTGTTGTCAAAAAGTATGGAAGTCCTTACAGATTTCTTCTGTTTGTCATTTATGTGTCACACCTAAATGTTTCAGCTCATCTAACAAATGTCAATATCTGACAAAAGTAACCGGAATAAATACAAACTGCAGGAATTTTGTCCAACTCTTCCTTAGAGAGTTGTTTTATTTCAGCCACACTGGAGGGCTTTTGAGCGGGAACAGCCTGTTTAAGGTCAAAGGTCAAATATTCTCTAATAGGATGTTCTGGTAGAGAGCAGGATGCATGGTTCCATCAGCTACAGCACTGCCACCACATGTCTGATGGGTTTTTAATGCAGTGTTAGTTTCACCATCAGCATAAAGCTTTCAGTATAGTCTTGGATGAGTTTGTTTGTTCTTGAGTTTCTGTCTAAACATTTAAAGAATAAAAAAGGGTCAATTTTCACCATCGAATTGACACAGCATAACCTTTCATGCACGCCAGAGCTGCAAAGTCAAGGTTACGCCAGCTGGAGGATCCAGACGCACAAATCAACCTTTTGCTCACTTAGAGTCCTCCTTCATCAACATAATGTGAAATTTCATTTTTTGCTGATGAATGCCAGATCTATCTCCCTCTTCGACGTGGAGAGGATAGATCTGTTTCTCCTTTACTGGACTGTTTGAAGGACATAAAATGTTGGATGGCTTCTAATTTTTTGCACCTAAATGAGAGCAAAACGGAAGTCATAATACTTAGTCCTGGCAGAAGAAATGGCTCAGGTGCTGATATTGACCTTGGCCCATTGACCCCCTATGAAAAGAAAATGGTCAGTAATTTGGGGATAAAAATGGACTCCTCACTTAATCTTGACACTCACGTCAATAAAGTGGTGAGGTCCTGTTTTTTTAACCTGAAAAGACTATCCAGGATCAGGCCTCTGCTGTCCAGAGCTCATCTGGAGTCTGTGTTGCATGCTTTCGTCCTGTCCCGGCTGGACTACTGAAACGCTCTGTATGCTGGTCTGGCCCAGTGCACGGCTGCACGATTCCAGTTTGTGCAGAACTCAGTGGCTAGGTTCCTGACAGGTACTAGATGTCGAGATCACATTACACCAGTGCTGACTGCTCTGCACTGGCTCCCGGTGCAATTCCGAGCTAAATTTAAAATCTTAACTCTCGTTTATAAAGCCCTCCAGGGCAGTGCCCCCTCTTACATTACTGCACTTTTGCACAGGTATGCTCCATCTCTGTCTCTTCGCTCAGCCGAGCAGGAACTTCTGGTGGTCCCCCGGTCGAAATGTCAATCGAGGGGTTATCGTGCATTTTCTGTTTTGGCTCCAACTCTGTGGAATGAATTGCCATTGAGCATTAGGCAGCCACCGTCCCTTCCAGTCTTTAAGTCTCGTCTGAAGACTCATTTTTATTTGATTGCTTTTCAGTGCTAGGGTTCTTTGAATTGCCCTGACATTATGGTTTTAATTCTTCTTCTTTTTGATCAGGATGCTTGATCTTATTTTGTCCATCATTTGTTTTTAATTGATTAGTCTTATTCTGTTTTCTCTCTGTATTTGTAATGTTGTTTGCTTGATATTTTATGATTTTATGTTTTTATCTTGCTTTTATGCCCAGGTACTGGGAATGTTTTTATGATGATGCTGTTCAGCACCTTGGGCTTCTGATAAAGTTGTGGAAGGTGATCTACAAATAAAATTGAATTGAATTGAACAGTGTTCTTCAACGCAGATATGAATAAACTGTCAAGGTCTCCCGCAAAAGCCCTTCTCTCTGCCCAGACTGCTGGATTCCCCACTCTGAATAAAAGTGAATCCTCACGAATCCTACAAGGCTTTACTGCTTATAAGTTAAATAATCATATGTGATAAATGAACAAGATGTTTAAACCAAACGTTTGAATAATCTGTGCTTAAATCAATGAAGTTGAACTGAGCGTTGCTCTTACAATGATCCATTGCAGATCTTATTATCAGTATACGTTTTGATTTAACAAGTTAATCATTATCTAGACTCATACACATCTTCATAAGATACAAATTAAGATTAAGATTCACCTCACATAACGTTTATAGATTCTTATTCACAGAGTTAAGAATCTTGTATTTGAGGGAAGGCGTGGCTTTCTGGGGAATGTTTTGGTAAAGCCTTCCTGACATGGCACATTCTGATTTGCCAGAATGGCCAGAAATCATGGCAAAGTAGTCTGATAAAACAAGAATTACTTCCCGATTAATTCAGTTTCGAGCAGAGTTCTGATCCGGCCAATTCGGAACAAGCATCCTTGATACATCTTTTGACCTACAGTCAACCTGTTTGCATGCTGCAAGCTGACACAGCCAGACAGCTCCATAAGAGCCACTTCCGCTTTGGTTGCAAACAACCATTCCAGCTACTGTTGTGACCTGGAGACATCTCAAGACTGGACGGGTCGTATCGACGTTAATCTACTGGCTTCAGGTGCCGTGAAGCCCACTCGATTTCTGACAGTCCGGATCTGCTGGGGGTATCCGCCAGGGTTTGTAGACACAACCGATTGAGTCTGATGCTGTTTTATTAATAATCAACTCTTGTCATGTTCCTGAGCTGAGGTGAGCACTCTCTCATTACTAACCATCTCTGAGGCAATCTTCCACAGGTGAGGAGCGGAGGGAGCTGCGGGTGCGCCGAATCTCCAATCAGGAGGTCAGGTATAAAGGGAGGATGGAGACACCACACTACACCGGATGATTGCAACTGTTAGGTAGCCCCAGCCTCTTGACCTTGTTTGCTCGTTTTTGCTCGTTAGAATTTGACATTGGATTTTTGGCTCTGAACCTTGGACTGTTTATCTGGATTACACCTTTTGGAATCTCCTCTGAACCCTGCTCGTTTATTCTGTTCAGGATACTCCACTCTACCCACTACTCTCGCCGCTCGAACCCCGGATTTCCAGAACCACGTCCCATCCTCCTCTACAACGCCTGCCGTTTTGTCTCCGCTGCCTCACCCGCCTCAGCCCGCTGAGCCACCACCCACACTCACCTTGGCTACCCACCTTTCCGCACATCCTGGACTAATATATGGACTAAGCCGAACGGCACACCCTCACTGGACTTACCAGTGCACTTTTTGTTCCTGTTTTAAAATAAAAGAACTTTTCTTTACTCACCCATTGAAGTCGTGTTGATTCTGCATGTCTTGGGTTAAACACCTCCCTCGAGTCATGACAACTCTCTAGTTTATAGCAGACGACAAATTCTTTTACACCCAGATTTCACAATTTCTTTCAGACAAAGATTCTGATATACATCTAGCTTACATCACACCACCTACACATCACATTCCATCACTGCATATCCACTCCATCACATCTCATTATTCATATCTTGTCATGTATAATCATTCGTTCAGGAAAAAGAATAAAATTCCTTTTTAACTATGTACCTGACTCTGTCTGAATTAATACATAGTGTGTTTATGGTCCCTGAACAAGTAAAAGTAACTATAATCCTCTGATTACACATTCGAAAATCAATCAGGTTGATATTTCATATTTATGTGGAATAATCACATCTTATTGGTCATAATTAATTTACAGTCGTCACACTTTAAAGTGTGACCGCTACAAGAGCTTATATGTGTTCTGTTTTTAGATCTTTTAGCCTTCTTCAAGTTCTAGTGAAGTGGTTTCTTAATTCTAAGAGTTTTGTCGTAATCAGGCCTGGGTGTGAAAACTTTCCAAATAATCTGATTATTGAATCCATTTACTAGTCATGGTTAATTCCTGATAACCAAGAAGGCATTTTGTTTTATATGTAGAGCCAGGTTGGCTTGGAGACATTCCGCCCCCTCATAAATGAAAGTCATCATTTAAAACTGCCTTTTGCATTTGCACAGCTTATCTTTGGTCCAACCAGAAATTTCTTTGCAGCTCTGAAACATTTGCGTGTGACTTAAAGCAAAAACAAGAGAGATCAGTTAGAAAACGGACCCTTTTTGGCAGCGCCGTGTCACGCATGTTTAAACCTATGTGACACACAATCAACGTGATGAATTTTAATCTTGTTGGAACTCTGTACAGATTTAGACTTTTTTTAAGCTTTATGAATGTATTGAGCTGGTTGTTCAACAGAACTAAGAGATGACTGATTTTCTATTTTTTATTGACAAGAATGTGCAGCGGAGGCTGTCGGCAAATTTCTGAAATTACATAACAGCTGTTACTTTGTATAAAGTTACATAACTAAATCATGTGTAAATAACATGCAAATGACGCCGTATGATATCTTTGGTACAGAAATGTTAGAATATCAAAGCGAAGTCCTTTCTCGTTCCAACACAAAACCACATTTTACCGTTGACAAAGCAGTCCAGAATGAACCTACTAGGATTACTGAGTGGATGGCTGAGACCCTTCACCGGCAGCCATAACCACAGTTCATCCAGAAACAAAAAGACACTACACCGACTTCTATGTTGAAAAACACAAGATAGTGCCCAGAGCAGACTCAGCTCTTTAAATTAGAAAATAGAAGCGTTTTTTAAAAAGAACAGTAAAGTTTTAATTGAGACTGATTAAATTCAGATGCATCCAGCAGGTGTCACTAGAAGACAACAATAATGTTGCTGTGGTTGTTCCTTCTGTTGATCTTTTTTATGTAATGATGTGAACAAAAATGAACTATGTCGAATATTGTCTTTGTTTCTCTCCTCTTGCCTGCTGATGGTAGAACTGCGTGCGCCGCGCTTGTCAGGGCAGTGAAGTGCGTCCTTGGTGCATTTGGAGAGAACGCGTCCTCTTGCTCAAAACAAAGCTTCTCTTGGGGCACGTCTTTTGGGTTGTAGGTGGAGTGGTGCCAGAGGACGGACAGATACGATTTCAGAAATCTCAGAGAATTAGACTAATTCATGAGTGGAAAAACCACTGTTTCTCTCCGTACCCTAGAAAAAAGTCCCAGTACGCTGAGAAGTAGAATTTAGAATTGCAGGCATTGCGTTCTGGAGCGTATCGAACTACTAAATGACTGGATATTTGGACATCTCACCTCTGATTGGGTAACAGAAATGCGACTCTGCAACTGACCCTGTTTACTTAGCAACACAACACAAGCCTGGAGGAGTTTTGCCATGTGGTGGAGTTGCTAATGCTAACAGTTAGCTTCTACTAGGCATTATCTGCTGTTTTCTGGACACTGAATGTACAACGACCTTCCTCGTCATGTGTCAAGATGGGGGAGTTTCACCATCTATTTTCTATCAGAAGCTAATGCAGGAGATAGCTGTAGATGAAAAACACAGAGTGATTGATTTCAATCAGAAATAATCTTTTAAAAATGCATTTTTTCTGTGAACCACACCTTTAATATAAAATACACGATGGAAACATGTTCACAGATGATTATTCTTAACAAATGAGGGGTTGTTTTATTCAGTGCTGCTGCGACTCATTTGTGCTGCAATAAAGCATCTGATTTATGCCTAGAGGCTGTAAAGGTTGTCATGGGGCCCCAATCGAAGACACCTGCTGCCTGGTGCAGTCTAGGAAGTATGCAGATGTTTCTCCATTGGAGCTGGGGCAAGGGCATTGGACGAGGAAGTGTGTGCCGGTCTCTGGCTGAGCAATCGGTCTCACCGGCGTAGAGGTTCTCACTCAAAGTTTTTCAGCCCTCTGGTTCCTCTGGTCCCTTTGTGGCCTAAGGACCCCCAAGCAATTGCTTGCCCTGCCTGTGGGCCTGCAGGGCCTCTGTTTATACCTGGAAAGGATTAACAAATAAATCTCAGGAGCAGAACTTTGATGATTCTTTCACCCACTAGAATCCGTACCATTTGGTTTTTAGAGGTTTCACGGGCACTTTTTTCAGAGTTCAGCTGTTCTCATTGACTCATAAAAAGCAAACGCAATCCTCCATGTGCATTAAAACTGAATTTGGAATGAAACGGGCTGATGAAAAACTCTCAGTCCCAGTTTAATTGCAGTTCATGAGAGTCCAGGAAGTCGGCGGAGAAAACACCCTCTGGCACTGATATGTCCAAAGGGTTAACTCCTCCTTCTTCTGCTGGCACTGACAGGGTCAGATCCAGCCAATCCATGCTGTCCACAGTGGTGTTGTGGAAGCTCAGACCCGCTGGTGGCATGTTTTCACTAGAGTTCACCTCCATGGTGACCAAAGGTGAATTCAACTCCTCTAAAAACTTCAATTTCTGTCCCTTAGTGTTGGGAAACAGTGTGGCATCCAGAAGGGTTTCCAGCTCGTGTCTAGAAGTCAGAGCCTCCAGGTCCGGTGGGGCAGCAGGCAGCTGAGCCACCTGCACCAAAGGTGGAGGGCGAGACAAAACGGTGTTGATGGGAAGGGTGGTTACACTGGCGGTCACTGGGAGAAGCTTTTCCAGGCAGGGAGGATTCTGTCTGCTGAAAGGAGACATCTCTGGGAAAACAAGTGTGTGACAGGATGAGAGTGAAGTCATTACTAAGGGAAATAACCTTTTTCTAGATTATCTCACCGCCGCTCTCGATCAGCACATCAAACAGGTCATCCATCTGCTGACTGGCTGCAGTGGGACCCTACAGAAACATGGGATTACTAACTGGTTTCATGAACAGTTTAAAACGAAGAAACTGAAGTCGATTTGCACCTGAGCTGCTGACAACGCTCGGCATGTCTGTCTAACTGCTTCCTCATAGCGTGGTGGGTCTTTACCCTTGGATGCATGGTTGGTGAATTTTAACTGCTGTGACCTCACAGGGTGTTGGCTGGAACAGGGCGACTGTTCAACAGAAAATAAAATCAGTTCTGTAGACCAAATGACACCGGGACAGATTAATGGTCACGCTAAACCTCAGATCTTACCTTTTCTTTGGAGATGTTTGGGACAGTTTGGACACATCCAACCACAGGGAACACACTGGCTTGGTTTGGTACCTTGATATCCATCCATGTCTGAGAAACAGGGATTCTGTTAAAGGTTTTGTTCATTTAATTTTATATGCAGCAACCCGAGCCCTCAGGTTCACAGACCAGACATTTCTAGAAGTTCCAAAGACCAGATAAAAGTTGAGGTGATCTCTCTTCCCAGGCCGTTGCATCTTGACTTTGTAATGAACTTACTTTGTTCTTACGCTGCGTTTATAGATAGATAGATAGATAGATAATCTTTATTGACAGACTCTTAGGTCCAGATAAAATACATATAAAACAACAGATCAATGAAACAAAATAGATAAATAGAATAAAAATATAACAGCATAAAATTGAATAAAAATCTAAATGTAATTAAAAGCTTTACTATAAACTGTTCCACACAAGGTTAACCACACAAAC